GAAAGACCATCTTCCTAAAGAGATGCTGCACATAAGGATGCACTAAAGAACATTTGTAACTTCAAGGTACCAAGAAGACTGAGGAATTGGGCCAGTATGTGTGTAATATGTGTGCATTGCCCAATTCTTCCTGTTGCAGATTAGAAACAAATAAATGATATGTGAATTAAATCTTGAGTCTGCAGTCTATTTCCACAACACTATTGGTATGTTCTTTTACATTCTTCACATACACTTCAAAGATAACAGAAATCTAAATTAAAATTGGCATTCCCCTTCCCTCGAGTTTCTCTTCTAATATTCTCTATCTTAAGCAAAAGTCACCATCTGCACATCTGTCCAAGTCAGAAACGGGGACTCTTCTTTCTCTTCCCTCTCTCTCATTCCCCACATGCAACAAAAACAAAGTTTTCACCTCTGGGCCCTCAGGAATTCACTTGCCTCCATTCTTACCAGTCTACTTTATCCCACGTTTTATCAAGCAAAACTAACATTTAATAGCACAAATTGATTACGTCACTTCCATACCCAAAATGCTCCATACACAAAATGCTCCAGTGACTTTCCACCAACAATAGTCCAAAATAGTCTAAAATCACTTTGCTATTTGTCAGGTTCTCCACAACCAGGACATTGTTAATCTATGCAGCCTTATGATACGCTACTTTCAACTTCTGCTCTTAAATCTTGGTTTCTTTAGAGCATTAAACTAAGTCTTGTCACAGGATCACTGAAAACACTATACTCTTCCTGAGACATTCTCAAAATCCCCTAAATGTTATTTCCTCCAAGCATGTAAGTTTCTATATTCTCCCATCATGTTGCCTCATGGTACAAAATACCTTGCTTTACATAACACACACAATTTTCCAAGTTGCTTGTTGAGTTCCTAGGAAGGCTGTAACATATCACCACAAACTAGATGGCTTAAAAAAATTTATTCTCCCACAGTTCTGAAGGTTAGAAGTCTGAAATTAAGGTGTCAGAAAGGCCATTGCTCTCTGAAAGTTCAAGGAGAGGATCTTTTCTTGCTTCTTTCAGCTTCTGGTGGTTGCTAGCAATCCCTGACTCTCTTTGGCTTTAGACACATCACTACAATTTCTACCTCCCTTATCACATGATATTCTCTTGTGTGTCTCCATATTCAAATTTCTCCCCACTTATAAGGATACTCTTATAATCCCAGTCATGGGATTAAGAACCTTAATCCAAATATGACTGTCTCTTAACTTCGTTACATTTGCAAAGACTCCATGTCTAAATAAGGTCATGTTCTTAGGTTCTGGGGGTTAGGAGCCCAACATATTTGGGGGCAGGGAAAAGACACAATTCAACGTACAGTACCTGCTTAAAGTTTCTCTTCCTTATTGTATGTTTGATAAATAAGAAGATCACATAATTTATCATCAAAACCAAAATACTTTTGAGCAAAAAGAACACAGTATTAATAATGACCCCACAACAGACATAAACTAGAGTGTCTTGAGTAAACAGAGCTCATCATCCCATCCTAATTAAATGAAAGAGTGAAAGGTGATTTCACTTATTAGGCTATGAACACTCTCGGATGAAAGATAGTATGACTTGGATACTTAGAGATAAATATGAGTTTACCAGGACAAGAGGGATCACTGGCTTTCAAACTGAGGGAAGGAAGGGCAAGGCAAAAATCCAGAAGCATAAAAATAGAGTTGACCCTTGAACAACACAGGTTTTAACTGCATAGGTTCACTTACAGGTGTATTTTTTTTTTTTTGTAAATACAGCACAGTACTGTAAATGTATTTTCTCTTCCTTATGATTTCCTTAACATTTTCTTTGCTCTAGCTTACTTTAAGAATATGCTATATAATACATATAACATAAAAAAAAAAGTGTTAATTGACTGTTTATCAGTAAGACTTCACCAGCAGGCTATTAGCAGTTAAGTTTTGGGGGAATCAAAAGTTCTACATGGATTTCTGTGTGGGGTGCGGGCATCCCAACCCCCACATTATTCAAGGATCAACTGTACTTGCTGTGCCCAATAATACTGAAATAAGTTTACGGCAAAGAGAATCTAAGAGAGAATGGTTAATAGATACACCAAGTTGTGACTGATATTACAGCCTCACAAAAGCAAAAATAATCAAAATGTGTCAGACTATTATGTATCAGTCAGGATTCCCCAGAGAAACAGAACCAACGATGGATGGATGGATGGATGGATGTAGATAGATAGATAGATAACATTTTAAGAAATCGGCTCATTAATTGTGTATACTGGCAAGTTCAAAACCCAAAGCACCAATTAGTAGGTTAGAAATTCACGTTAAGAGCTGATGTTGCAATCCTGAGTTCAAAATCCACAAGGCAAGACTTCAGGCTGGAAACTCAGACAGTGTTCTCTGTTTCAGTCTCTAGGGAGAATTCTTTCTTTTTTAGGAAACTTCAGTCTTCGCTCCTTAATTAATTAAATGAAGCTCAACCACATTTTGGAAGGTAATCTGCTTAAAGTCAACTGCTCATAAATGTTAATCACATCTATAAAATACCTTTACAGCAACATCTGGACTAGCATTTGACATAGAACTAGGCATCATAACCAAGGTAAGTTAACATAAAATTAACCATCACATCATGTGTTAGCAACTTCGAGTTAAAATTTCTCATAACAACGCACCTGGGTAGCTCAGTCGGTTGTTTCCGACTCTTAGTTTCAGCTCAGGTCATGATCTCCAGGTCATGGAAGATTGAGCCACTTGGGACTCTACTCAGTGTAAAGTCTGCTTCAGATTCTTTCTCCCTCTCCCTCTGCCCCTTCTCCACTCATGTTCACACACATACTCACTCTCTCCTAAATTAATAAAATCTTTAAAAAAAATTCACATAATAGCTCATATTTCCTAAGCTAATTTCATAGGAATTCGTGGCTTTTAAAAATTTTATATTTATATGAGAAAGAGAGAGAGTGAAAGAACAAGAGGGAGAGCACAAGCAGGGGGAGCAACAGAGGGAGAGGGAGAAACAGACTCCTTGCTGAGCAGGGAGCCTAATGCAGGCTTGATCCCAGGACCCTGAAATCATGACCTGAGCCAAAGGCAGATGCTCTACTGACTGAGTCACCCAGGTGGCCCGAATTCATGGGTCTTTTTTTTTTTTTTTTTTTTTTTTTTTTGGCAGGAGATGAGCTAACAAAAGGGTTTCAGGGTAAAATGTATTGTAGAAATGTTGGAGTTACTATGAGAATATATATATGAAGTGTTCATGGAGCTCCAGTAAACATCTCTAGGAGATGGAACTCCAGTAAACATCTCTAGGAACTAGTGCTCTATGTAACACAGTTTAGGGAATGCTGTTGTATAAAATGGGAGGCATCAAAAGTTTTACATTAATTGTGTTTTAGAATGATTATTTTGGTGGAAAAGTAAAGGTTGGATTGGGGATGTAAAGGAAGCAAGAAGCAGAGAGACAAGAAAGTAGAGCAGAAATCAGTAAGAATAATTGTCAATATCAATTATCAATATGAGTGTATTCCATTTGTATGGAGAGTATTAACCAGAATGATAATCAAATGAGTACAGATTTACCAGTTGATCAAGACATAAAAATGCCTAAGATAGTTCTCTGTCTACAGCCTAATCACTCTAATAATTAATCAAAAATTTTCCTAGCAGAAGTCAAATATACTTAAAAATATTTAGTACAAACATACTTGAAAATTTTAACAAATAAAAGAATAAAGGCTGTGAAGATAAACAAATATGGGTTAAAATACTGGTTCTTAAAACTATGAGCTAGCTATTTGCTCAAGTCTCAGTCTCTTCATGTACAAAATTATAATATATGTAAAAGCACACAGATCTAGGTGTTCATCTTGATTTGGATTTTAGGTTGCCCTCACTGTAATGAGTTATCCTAGAAACCAAAACAATATGTGAACAAACTGAAAAACCAATAATCACAGAGACACTGTGTCCAGTGGCCTCAAATTCACCTTTAAGAGAAAAAGTCTAGAGGTTCTCATTTGATCTTCAATTCATCACTGGGTCAATTAACGCCAAGAAGACATATCATTGTTAACTGCTAACTTAAAAGAAAAGCATTACAAATCCCATTATCCACCAGTAGACCTTCCATGTGTAAGTACATGATGTTTACCTATCCTTTTGGTGATGGAAGGACATTTTCAGGGAAGTAAAATGTACATCAAAGTAAATGACAAATTACTACAACACTCACATTTTGTATTATGCAGTGACCGGTATGTTTCTTCTGAGCAAGATAATTGCTGTGATACCTAATATATCTTACTTGACAATTTAATTACAGAATTATTAGTCTTGATGTTGGCACATTAAGTGGTGTCAAAATGGTCCACCAGCTACCTTCTTCTCATTTTTATATCCAGAAAGACAAGAAAAGAATATAATGTTTGCAGCTGCCCTCCAACGACTAATGTTTAAAGTTGAGTTCATTTTATAATCTCTAAAAACTAACTTTCAGGAATGAAGTATTTTATCTTAAAAAGCTAAAGATGGACACAAAAGAAGCTTCTATCTTCAAATACCTTCTGCCAACTCAGAATCCACAAAACTATCTAACAGCAGTAAGGTAAATAAATATAAACAGCACTCTTAATTATGAAAGCGTTCACAGACCTAGGGCTTATAGTCAAGTTTCAATAATTACTGCTTTGATACTAAAATGTCAAGTTATGTAAGAAAACATCCGAAATAAAGGAAAGAAACTGGCTCAGAGTATTATCTTTAAATTATAAAGAATAAGCGTTCAGTTCTTCTGTTGCACAGTTAATTAGCCATGATGTTTCTGAGAGAAATGAAAAGGAAAAATGTCAACTTCTGAAGATTATAACACTCCATTTTTTGCTTCAGGAAACAGTTTGGATTAGCCCAGAAGCAAATGCTAAAATAATAATAATGATAATATTTTGCTTAGCAATAGGAACAAAATAGAAAGGATAAAGACAAGGGGAAAAAAATTCCTTTATAAGGCATGAATCACCTGCACTTTCTCCAAGCTTCCAGACTTCAGAACCTGAGGTAAGGCTGACATTGCTGGACAAGCAGAAAGAGGATCCCTTGTTATTGTATCATTTCTAAATTTTTGAAGACTTAAATTAATTTTCCTTAGACTTTGATTATATCTATTAATTTCTAACTACTATAATCACCATAGGATCTTCAGTTTCTAATTAGTGTAATTATCATGAGATCTCAAACTGTTTTCCACACAATTCCAATAGACAATGCCTTTGAAAGAATATATCATAATAGAAAATAAATGGAAATGCTTTAATAAACTCATTAATCTTTAAATTCTATCCACTTATATATTACTAAAATGTTAGCAATTTCAGTAAATATAGTAATAATAAAAATAGCTTGTCCTCTGGAATCCCGGTTTTAAAGTGCTCCCCTTTTAGACATGAACCCATATTTTAGTTTTGTACATATAAAAATTAAAGTGTTTTCAGTGGGAAGAACATATATTTAAATAAGTTGTGTAAGAACTTATTTTTTAAAATTTTTATTACTTGAAATGTTTCCATTCCATTTATCTCTTTTATTACAAAGGGGAGGGCATATAAATATCTAAATGTGCTTTATATTTTGCTTGAGATTGCAACTATTTCACATATGAGGAAACATTTATTAATCTGGTTTTCTATTCCTCTTCTAGGGAGTATTGGGATGTGACAGTTTTGTCAAATAAATTAATCATTCCATTTTAAAGGCAGAACCTGGGCCTCAGGCTAAATTATGTGACCAGGGTTTGGCAACTGAAGCTCAACTCCAGTGACTATGAATCCAGTGTTCTTTCCTTTCAAATCAAAAGAAGATGCCCTAATAAATAAAATCATTGTAAAAAGACAGTAATTCTCCATGAGTTATGTTATAGCTATCGTGTTTTTAAAGATTAAAAAAACAGTCACATTTGAACCTGAGATTTTGTAAGTAGAAATAATCAGCCATTAATTCCCCTACTTATCTACTTTTCTTCTTTGGGAGAGGAATCAGATAAATGGATAGTGACTAAACAATAATTCATTACTGAAGTATGACATATGAATGCAAACTTATGAAGAAAGGATAATTTTATAGCAGCCTTCAAAGAACTGCAATTGGAGAGGTTTGGGTTTGGGTTGTTTATTTTACATTTCCTTTAAATACGAGAATCTAGCAGTAATGATCATACCAAAAGAAAATAAAAAGTTTAACAGAAATTTCAAATTTCTAACAGTTACTCAGATAATAAAAGTAATACTAATGACAATATTAATAAAAAAATATCTGAAATTTCTACCTATCGCATTTTTAAGTTAACATCTAAAATGTTTTGTCTGAAGTCTTAAGTGGGTAAGGGCAAAATCAGAGCCAGAAGACTATTGTAATGGCAATTTCTCAATGTCTTTTCTGTGTTTAAATTATAAACTCAACAAAAAAACCATAAAATTTTTTAACAGAAAATCCACATGTAAATTAAACCATCATATCACACTATTTTATCTTTCACTTACATTTTCCTGTCTTGTCTATTTGGGTAATTTACATACAGTATAGTATTTAAACTTTTCACTTGTGTTATTTGGATAATTAACATTACAGTATGGTAGTTAAACTTTTCACTTATCATTATAACAAGGATTTTTTTTTTATTTCTATCAAGTCTTCATGATTATCAGTATCTGTATTTTTTTTAACTTATAACACTAAAATGGTTTAAAATTTTTTTTCTCCTAATTAATTTATCAAAGATATTTCTCAAGACAGATTCTTTGCATTAAAGGTATAAACATTTTCATCTTTTGCATGTTGTCAGACTGTTTTTCAAAAAAATTATTTCAATTAACAGAACCAATGGTTGTATGCAAGGATATCAACCTCGCCATCTTGATCATAATTTGGTAACATCTTCTCAAATAACTCTTCAGTAATTGTAAAATAGCAGCTCAAAAAAGAAGTTCTTTATGTTTTCTTGACCATTAATGGGACAAGGACTAACTTTTGCCTACATTTTTGTCTACTACATGTATTACCATTGGAGTTCATTATTTATAATGTTTGCACATTTAGGTTGGACTATTCTTTTAAGTTTGAAATTTTTTTTATATCATAGATATAATATATGCCATAGATGTGCCTTAACATGCATGAATGTTTTTCCTTTGGTTAAAATTTAGCAAAAACAAAATATTTCTTTTATTCTCCCACCAACAACAAGGCATCATCTTTTGCTGTCTACTTCCAGAAGACGTTAAGGCATTAAAATGAAGGCTCTCGTTTTGATTGCTGTCATCTTGACTTTCACTGCTTACTTCTCGGTAAATATCAAATATCTTTACCTATGTCTATTTTCTTACTTAGTTCTTAATCATAAAATTTATTGTCTTAGGTCAACACAGCTTTATACCACACAACCTTTGTTTAATTTTATTTTTGCCTAAGACCTTAACTCTCTTTATGATCTTTTGCTGGCCCTAGGATACACTCAACATTTTTTTCCACGTTTGTAGTCTTTAGAATTCCCACATGTGAAAGTAAGATATTATAGTGTTACGAGTTTAAATTGTGTATTCTGATTCCACCTCTGCAATAACATTCTTGAACAGCATTTAGTCTTTGGTAAGCTCCCTGAAAAGAAAGATGTGTGAAGAAGAAAACTGAATATAGGAAACACTATAAAAAAGATTTTTAACCATATATGGGATTTTACATGGATCAAAAAAATCAAGAAATTCCAGACATGATATATAACTTTTCAAGCAAGAGCATGTGCTTACTATCCTCTTAAGATTTTTAGATTTGTTCACCTAAAGCTCACACGTTAGTTACATTATCTAAAGGGTAGGTTACATTGTCTAACACCTATTGCTCTAAACTTAATCCAGTATTATTTCATGAACAACCAATATGTTATGAACACTGCTAACACAAGTGCCTCTTCCTTGTTCTTCCATGCTAAAACGTAGCAAGGGGGAATTTCCATCCAGTGAAAAACCCTATGCCAGAGCTCTGTGAATTACCCATTTTTCTCTCCCCAAATCACAGGCTGGTTTTTCCTCATATCAAGTCATAAAGACACTGGTTCCTCAGTGGTCCCCTGGGTTGGCACCTGAGTAAATGATAGTTATTATGATAAAAGGAGCCACGTCTTCCACTACCTATAAACTGGTTAGCAACATACTCATGAGAATGTAGAGGGACAGGAACACTTTTGTCTAACGACCTCCAGAAAAACCGATTATCTTTATTTTATGAACTGTGTGCTTAAAATGTTATAAGGTCCCTCACATTTAACAATGACACCCAAAATTCTATAACTGTATTCCATTCTATCACCTAACCCGACCACATATATTACCCTCAAACAACTTACAATCAGTATTCTCAAATGCCATATATGTTCTGGGCCTAATTTCTTAAAATATACTTCTATTCTCCATTTCCATTTTAGGCAGCTGATGCACATAAGCAAAAAAGCTCCAGGGTAAGTTTTTATATTTCTAGTTATCTTTTTATATTTTCATTCACAATGACAAAAGTTAGTTGTGTCTAAAGAATTGATAAGGCAGAGTTTCTTTTATTCCTAACCTAAGAAAATGTTGAGAGTCCCTCAGTGGGAATAGTTCTGTGAACACCAAAACCTTGCCTCAATTGCCAAGCTCTTTGATACATATGAATCTTCAACGGGAATAAGGCAACTTGGCATATAAAAAGCAATTTTACCTAGCCTTCAGTACCAAAAACTATCTACACTATCTACATTTGCTTGTTCGGTGTAAATATCTTTCTCTTTATAAATATTAATGGCCCTTTAATAAGGAACATTTCTTATGATCCTACAAAATTCAAAAAAGTAGTTTCTTTTCTCAAAATCAATGGTTTTCAATGGAAAAAAAAAGAAAATTCAGAATCATCTGGAAAGACTTTTCAAAATCACAAATCCCTGTTTCCACTCTCTGCCATTTTTAATTGTCATAATCCTCATTCCATGTCATAATGGAAGTGGGCGGCACAGCAGGGGGTGATAACTAAAAATACTGTCACATCATCCCATTACATCTCCCACTCTCTCTTTTTCCCATACCAAGTACTCTCAATGAATCCTTAAAAACAAAACATTCTCCTGCTTCTAAAGTTGGGTAGACAGTGGAATAAACAATGTCTAGGTCTAGTGACCCAAATTGTGCTGATATTTAGAAGGAAAAAAAATTCTAAACCTACCTTGAAAGTTCATGGCAATTTTAGCAACTTATTTGTTCTTCATCATAAACTCTGGTATATGACTATCTCTTAGAATTTATTCACTCCGAAAACAAATATTCCATGAAGAGGCAGAAGGAATGTCATATTTAGAATCCTAAGAATTAGTTTCTGCCAGTGAAGACAAAATGAGAAGCAAGGCCCTAAATGGAAATCCTAAGGGAATGTCATGTTAAAAGTCCATATAACCAGAGACAATTAAAATAGTCCACGGCTTTGTTGTAATGAGGCTTTCACTGAGTACGTATGCACTAACCAATCTAAGGTTCTTCTAGCCTTTAACGTCTATGAGTTGGTGCAAATGAGTCAACCATGTAGGTTCACAAAATATTCAATCAATCTCATATTCTGGGTCTACAAAAACAGCAACGCAAAGCTTCTGTAGTTTCCTTTTACTCTCTATTTAGAATAGTAAAATTCTGAAATATTAGTAAAATAGCATTATGCTCTTTTCCAGGATGAAAATTAGAACAGCATGCCCCAACAGGCTCTCCATGAAACACTAGTATAAATAAATGCTATCCACACACATATTCACACGCACTCTTTCATGGTGAAGTAAGTTTGGGAAATATTGCATACCCCCCGGATTTGCTAAATATTCATAGCATATTATATCAATAACTCTAATAAATCCTATAGTAAAAAAAACATTTACTTCACCTAAATGTTTTCCACAGTTATTACTTATGGAATGAAGTCAGAATATTTACACAAATATAACTGATAAAATATTTTTAAAGCCTGAGTTCAGGCTAGTTTATGCATCCCACCTGTATAAAACAACTGTGTTTTGCATTCTCTCCTAAGTCTGGTGAAAGTTCCGAAGAGCATTTTAAACCATTTAAACAATTAAGGTCTAAGCTGTTGAGAGGATTTGCTGCAAAATTTGGACTAGGTCCTGGAAGACCAGGTGCTCACTTCGGTCATCATGAAGTCCCCGGAGGCCACCAACTCCATCCCCACCCCCATCGTGCCCAATCCCCACATGGACCATCACCCAGACCTACATCACCACCTGAGAACATCGTCCATCCTACTTCTCAAGCATTATCAGCTCCTTCTCGTCCTCCTCCAACCGTAATTTACACCACCGCCGCTAATGCTGCCACCACCGCCGCTAACGCCGCAGCCACCACCGCCCCTGATGCCGCAGCCACCACAGCCGCCGCTGCTGCCACCACCATGGCTTCCCCTGCCTCGGCCCAAAACACTGCAGGTGCTGTACCCAGCACTACGGCTTCCAGTGCCCAACAACCTGAAAACATCACCAGCGCCCCTGCGGCTGGCACCACCACCGCCCCAGTAGCCGACACCACTGCTGCCAACCTTCAGCAAGGGGAACAGTAAATTCCACAACTGTCCAAAATTACAGATGTACCAAACCGCAAGAAGACAGAGGCAGACCAAGGTAAACAATACTTTCCAAAATATTTTCTAACTAAATGAGTAACTGTAAGACATGTAGAAATAAGAACAGGGTGTTTTGTTTTATTTTTCCCATCCAAAAAAAAAAAAAAAGAAAAAAAGAAAAAAAAAGTTTCTGACTCTGCCATATGAGTTAGAAACTCTTAATCCTTTTTTATTTCAAAACTAAATTTGGGGGGTGCCTGGGTGGCTCAGTTGGTTAAGGGACCAACTCTTTCTTTTAAAAGATTTTATTTACTTATTTGACAGAGAGGCAGGGAAAGCCAGTGAGCACAAGCAGGGGACAGGCAGAACAGCAGAGGCAGGAGGAGAAGCAGGCTCCCCGCTAAGCAAAGAGCCTGACACTGGGCTTGATCCCAGGACTTGATCCCAGGGCACTGGGACCACGACCTTAGCCGTGGCAGATGCTTAAGCCAACTAAGACACTCAGGCACCCTACGACCATCTCCTGATGCTGGCTCAGGTCATGATCTCAGGATCCTGACACCCACATGGGGCTCAGTGCTGGGCATGGGGCCTGCTTAAGTTTCTCTCTCTCCCTCTCTCTCTGCCTCCCCCCCACCACCCCACCTTTCTTTCTCTCTCTCTCTCTCTCTCTGCTTTCTAAAAAACAAAAAAACAAACAAAAAAACTAAAAACTAAATTTGGTCTTCTTGAGTTGATATTAAATAAACTATATTAAATAATATCTATATCTATAAACCTACTGCTAGCAGATTCCTACCAAAGAGAGAAATTGTTTTTAAAAAGTTTAAATAGTTAAAAAGTGAAACAGTTCACTAATGTGGAGCGCCTGGGTGCCTCAGTCATTAAGTGTCTGCCTTTGGCTCAGGTGATGATCCCGGAGTCCTGCCCTTGGGCTCCCTGCTCAGCGGGGAGCCTGCTTCTCCCTCTCCCACTCCCTCTGCTTGTGTTCCCTCTCTCACTGTCTCTCTGTCAAATAAATAAATAAAATCTTAAAAAAAAAAAAAAGTCCACTAATGTGTATGTATTTGGCCTTCTGCTCCCAATGCTAAAATGGTTATTTCCCTGAAATAATCACTTACAATTAGGGCCTTAGTAAATAAAAGTTAATTTATACTTCGGTAAATTCCACAAAGTGTGCATTTGACATAGAGGAATGCTCTCCCCTCCTTCTTTCAGGACCTACCAACTTTAATAAGGCGAAAAAGGATAAAACATGTAACTAAAACATGTAACTAAATGTAACTAATGAATCTCTGAACACTATATCAAAAACTAATGATGTACTATATGTTGGCTAACTGAACATAATAAAAAAACACTTTAGCAAATACTACTAAAAATTGAAAATAAAAATCTAAACTAAATCACAACCCACAATTCCATACTAACTGAAGCATACACATCATGATATAACATGATCCCTAAAAAACATCGAAAAAATTGGAGAATACCACAGATTGCTCCTATTCCTAATATAGGTACTCCTAACTACAAAGATAAATGAGAATTATCCCAATTATAGAACATAAAAAGATACCAACTGCAGAACACTTAGAATAGTTACAGTGCTGTTACTGCACTGGATAGTCCTTGTACTGACTCCCATTTAATACTCATAGCCTCCTTGTAAAGCTGATTATCACTGTCTCCCTTTTAAAGAGGAGGAAACTGAAGCTGTGAGAATTTACAAGACTTTCCGAAGACAACAAAGTATAAATGGCAGACTAGTCTTCAAACTCAGATGCATCTAACTCGAAGCCCCAACTTCGCATGTTTTTCCCAGCATTCAGACATTTTAAAACTGGATAGAGCTAGAGAGTATTATGCTAAGTGAAATAAGTCAGTCAGAGAAAGACAGATACCATATGATTTCACTCTTATGTGGACAAAAGAAGGGGGAAAAAAGGAAAGAGAGAGGCAAACCAAGAAACAGACTCTTCACTATAGAGAACAAACTGATGGCTACCCCAGGCGGTGGTGGGTGGAGGGATGGTTAAACAGGTGATGAGGGGTAAGGAGTGGACTTGTGATAAGCACTGGGTGTTTTGTGGAAGTGCTGAACTACCAAACTATAGGCCTAAAACTAATATTACACTGTGCATTAGCTAACTGGAATTTAAATAAAAATTTTTTAAAAATTGAAGAAGAAAGAGCTTATACACTTTTAATGAATGGCTCATGGTATTTTGTTTTGTTTTTACAGATCCTGAAAAACTGAATATTGATGTATTATGATCACCTTCTCTCACCGTCTCAATTTTAACAAAAATACAGGAGAAGATACAAAAATAAAGGGATGTGGGTTCTTAGTGCTTCTTCTTTAGTTTTGCTATACTGTACAAACTTCAAAGATAACCTGATTTATGCATTTGATCACATGTGTGTTGGTGTCCTCTTCATTTCTTGGTTGAGTGACAGGAATATTACTGGCACCTTCATTCTTTTAGATGGTTCTATAACACACAAAGTATGTGTCCAGAGAAAAAATGTAAATATTTCACAGGCCAAAAAAAAAATTGTTTGAAGTCCCTCTATATAACATCATGTTAAAATATTACAAAGTTTAGAAATGGCTTTTCTTTCTGACATAAAATACCAGTGCATTTAGACATAACAAAGTAATTACTTATAAATAATTTGTAAAAACTATAATTTATAAATATAAACTATGATAAAAGTTATAAAGAAGTGATACAAAAGTAATCCTATTTTCAAAGAGATCATAGTCTAGTAGGACATATTTTCCAGAACATAGAAAGAATAAGCTAAATTTCTATAAAACCCATAGAGATCTACAGATATTCCTTTTCTGAATATTTCAAACAGTATTCCTTCATCTAAAGAGGTTATTTTCTCCAGAGATTGTCCAACTGACATTTCGTACCATTCCATGAATCACTTCACCCAAACTATATTAAATAATTTCTAGTTGATAAATTAATTCATCCAAGTGATTTAGTAAAATTCACCTAGATCTAGGTCAGGGAACGGAAGAATATAAATATAAACTCAATCACTTAGTCCTCAAAGGTTCAAGTGGCAAAGATAGAAAAAAGGCAAATAACTCTAAATTGCATAAGTAGTCTATAGTAAATACTATATCCAAAGGCACAAACAATAATGAGCAAACAGGAGAGGAGATATTTATTCCCCTTTGGGAAGAGCGAACATTTATAGAAAACCTATTGCGGATAAGCTATTATAGGAGACAGATAATCACAAAGTCTTGGTATGAAGGGTTAATTCGAAGCTTGAGTGACCTGAAGTGATTTTAGTAGCTAAGGACACACAACCCAGTCCTGAAGAAGTAGGAAGCAAAGGTTAAGATGGTAATTAACCGTGATGAAGTCCATACAGAAATGATCCCCAAAAACGTTGTACTGAATCTCACCGAGGAGACTTTTTTTTTTTAAGATTTCATGGAAGACATGAAAATCATGAAGGAATGATTTCAACAGGCAGGAAAAAGGAAGAAGCCTCAAGGCTAGATAAAAACATGGCAAATGAATGAAGGCAAGAGAGCAAATAGCATTCACATCCAAACGCCCAAACATTTACTAAGTGAACATAATACGCCAAGCTTATGGTTCTGGGAATTCAAAAATGGATAAAATACATAACACACTGTCAGGATGTTCCTAGTCCCACTAAACAGACATTGGCCGTGAATATAGGACACATCTAGAAACACAGATATCAGAATGGTAAATTATCATATTATCAAGGAACAAGATTAGGAGTTTGGATTAATTCTAAAGAAAAGAGAAATAGGAGTGCCTGGCAGCTCCCCAGGTTAAGTGCCCTACCCGTGGCTGCTTGGTTTTGGTTCAGGTCATGATCTCAGGTCCCTCTCTCTCTCTTTCTCTAATAAATATAATTAAATCTTTTTAAAAAATAAAGAGAATTAATAAAGGTTTTGACACAAAATACTACTATAGAAAAATCTTATAAATAATAAAAAACATTTGATTTCTTACATGTGCCAAACTCTGTTCTAAAAGCTAACATAAAATACCATAACCCTATAAAATAATAATATTGACACTCCAGAGATAGGGAAACTGAGGCACATAGAGGTTAATCAACTACCCAAAGACACAGAGTAGGTAAATGAAGAGCAGGCATTCAAACTTAACTAGCCTAGCCCACTCTCTGAACTTCTCCTGCCAAAAATGTCTAGGACATCGAAAATGAAGAAACAAATTAGGGATCTATTGTAATGGGCCAGTCAGCTTTGTGTTCTGTTTATCCTGGAGTCGTATAAGGAAAAGTTTCATTCAACTAGGATTGCACAAACTCCCCATTAATGTCATTCATAGTGTCTTTATCATCAGCAATAGCTTAGAGCACATTTCTTTTTTTAATTAATTTTTTTATAAACATATAATGTATTTTTATCCCCAGGGGTACAGGTCTGTGAATCGCCAGGTTTACTTCACAGCACTCACCATAGCACATACCCTCTCCAATGTCAATAACCCCACCCCCATCTCCGGCCCCCCTCCCCCCAGCAACCCTCAGTTTGTTTTGTGAGATTAAGACTCGCTTAAGCACATCTTTTTTTTTTTAATATTTTATTTATTTATTTGATAGAGAAATCACAAGCAGGCAGAGCAGTAGGCAGAGAGAGGGGGAAGCGGGCTCTATGTGCGGGGCTCGATCCCAGGACCCTGGGATCATGACCTGAGCTGAAAGCAGAGGCTTAACGCACTGAGCCACCCAAGCGCCCCAGCACATTTCTTTTTAATCACAATTTCCCCTATATTTTTATTATTGTACGATGAAAACAAGAGACAAAGGAGGAGGAGAAGTGAGAGGGAGCAGAACTGGAGGGAGAAAAGCAGAAGAAAGAGGAGGAGCACTAAAGGTAGAATCATAAGAGAAACCCATACTTAAATCAGAAGAAAGCAAGCAAGAACAGTAGATTAGAAAAGGAGCAATTAGAGGTGAGAGAACTAAAAGACTTTTCATAAAAGCCAAAAGTAGAAAAACGTTTCAGAATGCTTAAACACTTCTTTAAAAAGAAGAAGAAAAAATGAGAAGTACAAGAAACTCATGAACAAGATGTTTAGAAACGAGTCTCAATATTGTCCAAATTATAAAAAAGTTAAAAGGTGAAAAGTGGGTGGAGTTATTCTTAGAAAAAAATGTATTATAAACCTTAAGTGGTGACTGTGGAAGCAGCTGAAACTTCAGAAGTGTTCCTGTTCTCTGGGCTGTTGAACGCAATGGCCCAGTAGGAACAGGATCCCATCACCTGGGGAGGATGGCGGGGGGCGCGGGGCAGGGCATAGATTATGAGCAATGAAAGAAAGTAACCCTCAACTCCCCTTCCTGCCTCAGGGGATTATTAGCACAAACATCCTGCTCTTTCCTTATCCCATGCCTCTTGCTGGAGTAGGGGAGGGTGCAGGCCTGCTTTCTGGCATCAAGATAATTGCCATCTCTTTGTATTCCTTCCTCATGCTCTGATACATCTGTCCTTGCTTTTCTGGTTAAAAATGATAATAATAATAATAAATAAATAAATAAAATAAAAGCTATGTGCAGAATTCAGCTGCTGCTACTCTCCCTTGTAGAGGCAGCCCTGCAGGGCCACTCAGATTGGTGTCTGAGAGCTTTATTTCTGCATCTAACTACAAAGTGAGTAAGCAACAAAAGAGGCTTTGCGTTAAAGAAACCAAAAGAGAGAGGCAGATGGCTTGAAAAAGTAACCCAGTCAAGAGCATAATTCTGTGTTACAAAAGATGAATTGGGAATTATATCCAGTTGAAAATGAGAAATTGAATGTTTAATTTTTAAAAGGTGATAATAAAATATCCCAGAGAAAGCAGAAGGAATCAGGCTTTCTAAGAAAACTGCTTCTTTACAAGAAACAAATGGGTCTCTCCTAAGTGGAAGCTAGTGATCTTTCTTCTACCCTCAATCACAAGGAAATAAGGTGGATTTATGATCCTCTTGGCTGCGACTTCCCAACTGTGGCAGGTGGTACTAATGTCCCTAATAATTTATTTCCATTTTCCTTACAAAAAGAGGATTTTACATTTCCATTCATTGCCATAAGGGTTGCAAGGCAGTCCCTCCCCACCCCACCCCCACCCCTTGCAGAATATACCTCCCTATGTCATTGCCAGGCTTGGCACTATGATCTGCGCTGGCTGCTGAAATGTGAACTCAAGTCATGGTAGGCAGATTAAAGGCAGGAATTCTATCACACCTGCTCTTGTGCTGTTTTCCTTTCTACTATAAGAGCTGTGTGTCCTAAATAGAGACTGCTTCTTCAACCTGGTCCTGGAATGAGAAGATACACATAGTGGAGTGGCAGACACATCCTGCCAACTGTTGCCAACATGTGACATGAAGGAAGTATTTGTTTTTGTTAGACATTATGATTTGATGGTTGTTGTTACTGCAGTAAAGTCAACTTGCACAAAGACCATTACTCTCAATCTTCTAAAAACTATTCCCAATTAAATGAAGCCTGTGCCATTTAACTGGTCCTCCTCCTTCCTTCTTCATTGTTTTATCAATCAAGCTCTCAGTCACCATTCTCACTCTCTGCAGAAATTAGGATTCACAATGTTTACCCCCAGTGCCACCATAGTTCTGGGAAATGTCACAGTCCACAATGAGCATCCATTAAAATCCAGATTACTCCATTCTTTAATCTCATTTCTTTTTTTTTTAACTCTTCATCTTGAATGATCTTTATTTCTCTTCAGTTACACAAGTAATCTGGACTTTCCTGTCATCACACAGATACATCCCACCCATAAAGTTATATATCAAGACATACTTGATCAAAATATCTTTGATCAAAACTTCCCATTCTCCCAAATATTGCACTTAGTTATTCTCACTATAACAACTGTTTAAACTCTTTTAATTCTCCAGTTTCTGGACCATTTACCATCTCCCTAGAATCCCCTCTTAACCTTGTTTCATATCCAACATAGATTTTTATAGCCCATCAATTCAAACACTAGCTTACAAACATCTTCAACTTTTTAAAAACTTTTTTCTAATAGTTCATAAATCTGATAAAAATCCCAATCTCTGATTAACAGAAACAATTGCTTTCTCTGCATATAAACAAAATCTACCTAATGCTGTTGAGGAAAAATATGCAACTTTAGATAGAGACAATACTAAAATTTGAGGTCTCTAAACTCAAAGTGGCCCTCACATCTGCCTGGTAATCCTACTATGTTTCCCTAGTTTTCCTCTTCAATTCCCATTTTATCTATTGCAAATATCCTCCATATAACAGACCTATAGACTCAAATCCATCTCACTTGCAGTTGAAATATTTCTGACAATTCTTACTCATTTCTTTCATAGCAGAAGTTCCATCCACTGTTACCTCTTCAGA